AAAACCCCAAAAAACCAAACAACAAACCGTCATTGCAAAAACCTGGCTAGTTCACTGCTGGTTTAGCTCCCTGAGCTGGCTCCCTCTGTAAAAAGGGAAAATGCACAACTGCAGTGTGTTGGGACTGTTGTTGAAAGAACTTTTTCTCCTGTCCAGTTCTGAGACAGCTACCTGGGAAATTTTCTAGTAGCTTTTCTATCCTGAATCTTTGGGACAAATCTAAGTTAGGGAGTGCCTCTGTGTGTGTATTGATTTTCCAGGGATTTGAAATGCAGTAGGGCATACCCTAAAGCCTTAGGCTTGGTGCTGGTATGTGGTGGTGGAATGAAACTATAAAGTGGTGTTGGGTTTCAGTTAGTGATCCACCAAGGCTCAGTCAGTCCCGAAATCACTTCAGATAAAGTCATTCACTCTTCATCAGTCAATCAAATTTTTCAGCTACTGGTTTTGAATAGTGGATGCTGCAGGAGAAGTACTTTATGAATGTGAAAAAAGGCTGAATTTTTGTCTTCCGAGATGACTAAGATTTCCCTGAAAGTTTCCTGGTAGGTATTTTTAACTACTGTTGAGCTGAAACAGGCAACAAGGTGAGAATTGGAGCCATTGCTTATATGAACAAAATACTTGTGGAACTGATCTCTGTTTAGCTAAACATGTCATGTAAATAAGAGCATCTTTCCTGCAAGGATGGCACAAGCAGGAGTTGTGTGAGGTGAAGTTACTTCTCAAGTTGAAGTGTCTCAAGTGGGCTGCTAATCCCTGACTGAAACTTTAATCTTTTTTTTTTTTTTTTAAAAGCAATCTCACAGCTATATTAAAAAAAAAAAAAAGGTTGAAAAACAGCTGTTGGAATCTCTTTTAGGTCTTCAAATGTATGACACAGACGTGCATCAATTTACAAGGGTCCGTATCATGGCAAACAGCCACAGTTTTGGTAACTCATGTCGTACATTTCTACTAATTATGTCTTTTTATAATTTTTTTTTCTTCCTTGCCCCCCAGGTGTTATTTGGATTGTAGGATAGAGGCACTATGTACTCAGAGTGGAGATCCTTGCATCTTGTCATTCAAAATGATCAGGGGAATACCAGTGTCCTGCACAGCTATCCTGAAAACGTGGGGAGAGAAGTGGCAAATGCAGTGGTGCGTCCTCTTGGACAAGCTTTAATTACGTCATCCGTTGGAAGTGAGAGTTTACTAAAGACAGACAAAGAAGTAAGTACATTTCCTTAGAGATCATAGTTTCCTTCACACTAGAGTGGTGACTTAATGATTGTCTATAGTGTCTTTTATTTTTCTCTCTTTAATAATCCAAGTTTTATGAAGTGCGCTATATTTTTTAGGTTAGCAATCTACACAAGGCTTCTATTAACAACTAGTTCATAGCAACAGTGTACTTCATGACCTAGTAGTAAGTTTATATGAGCTATTGTACCGGGAACTTTGGGCTAAAGCAAAAAAACCCAACCCCCCAAAAACCCCAACCAAGGAATCTAGCAGTTAACACATAAAGCCTTTCTAATTAGCTTCATTTTTGAAGCAACAGTATGTGACTTTTAAAAAAAAGTCTTTGTATAGTACAAGTATTTACTAGAATTTGAAAATCTTCCATTACATTAGCTCATGTGTTCTGAAGAGTTCTCTCTACAGGTTAGACTAGAGAGATTTAGGATTTAGAGTGGTTTGCCATTTATTCATAATCTTCATAATGTCACGATATACAAGTTAATGGCTTGGTGCTTTCTTGCAGTATATGTTAAATAGCCCATACTCCGTAAATACTGTTATTTTTGTTGCATTAGAGCCAAAGTGCTCTGACTGTTGTTTACTTGCTGATATTTATTTTTAATAACTTTTGCTTTGTATTTGGTTAGGTAAAATGGACTATGGAGGTGGTTTGTTACGGACTGACCCTCCCTCTGGATGGCGATACTGTGAAATACTGTGTCGACGTATATACAGATTGGATTATGGCTCTTGTGTTACCTAAGGACTCCATTCCTTTGCCGGTTATTAAGGAACCAAATCTTTATGTTCAAAGCATTCTCAAACATCTCCAAAATCTCTTTGTACCGAGGTGAGTGTTAGGGCGGGGACCCTGGGGAGGCTCAGGAATTTGAAGCTGTAGTCAGCAGGTAACCTGTCAAAGAGGCCTGATGAGCCACGGAAGCTCTTTATTAGAATAAAACTGCTATCATTGCAAAGCTGTGAGGAAGGTGTCTTTCCAAACCTGTTCAGTAATTTTCAGTAGCAAATTGAGTTGCTGCTGCTGTGTTTAGGTGGTTAGAATTATAGATTGTTTCTAGACGTGAATGTTGACTGTTCTGAGAACTTCAAGAACCATCACTAATAGATGACTAGAGGGCAGGGGGGAAAGTTAAATAGCATCCCTGTGTGACCATGTGCTTGGGGTTGTATAAAACTGAGATAACTAATAGCACACCATGGCAATCCCATGCTTTGTTTACTCAAGACTTGGCCACACTTGTGATGTGCTGGAGGGTCTTGCAGTAAATGGCTGCTTTGTACCTGCATCTTGGTGCCTGTTAAATGGGCATAATTGTGCTGACTGTCTTCTGTTGGTAGTTTTGAAAGAATCCTGCGGAGGAGTGCTTACTGTCTGACAGCCTGATGTTACACAAGACATCCTTGAATGACGATGTTGAGATACACATGCTTCTAGGTCTTGGACAAAGTTATATTGTCAGAGGGCTCGAGCATCATACTTTGTTTATAGTTTATGACAGGTTTGCCTGCTGCTGTTGAACACACACGTGGGATAAGTAAGAGGAGGTTATTTAATGGGGCCCTGGGAAACAGTTCTTAAATGTTAGCTACCCGAAATTACTTCAGATCGATGTTTAGTGTATGTCTGTAAGTACCAGATCACCTGCTTTTATCAGTATTAATAATGTATCACTGCAGGTGGCCTTCAGAGTGCTCTGCTGCACTTGGATCACTTGACTTTAACTGTCGGCTTTGTTAAAGGGCTTTGAATAATAACTCATACAAATTCAGACGAGTTCATTGCTATTTATTGATTGCTTCAGACTCTACCACCTAACCTTAGTTGTCGTTGCTCTTAACTTGCAGTGAAAAAGGCATTTTAATTCCCATTAAAGGATGAGCAGAGCAACGGCACAAATCCGATGAAAGCATGCTTCTGGATTAGACGCAGAAGGTTTTCTCTAAGCTTTAATACACGTTGAAGAGAGTCTGCTGTCTGGAACCTTTATTCCCTTGGAAGAGTAGAGAATGAATTCTTCTCTAGTCCGTTAAATAGTTCTTGCTATGATCCCTTGGCTGCTGTCACACCAGGGGCCCTGGTAGCCCGCAGTTGAGCAGTCCTGTTTCTTTTGTGCTGCTGGCACAAGCTGCCGTTCCACCCTTCTCTCCCAGCTTCATTGATGGAGCTCGATGCAGGGTGGTAGACTCCATGTGATGGCTGTTTAATGAAATAATTAACATCCAGAGACAGGGAGGGCTGGAAAAGCATTGTTTTAAACACTTCCCCTGCTTCCCCCCAGTATAACTGTTCTAATGTTTTTCTTTCAAAAGCCTCTGAGATGCATCTGAAACATTTTTTTCATGGCTGCTGCTGTCAACACTCAGTGTTCAAGTCCCTACTCTGCTTTTGAGAAAAAGGACTTAAAGTTCAAATTTTGTTCTCTAGGGAGCTCTGTTCAGAATTCTCTACAGAAAGAGGAAGACATTCTATAATGGAAATTAAATGCAGAACTGAGTTGTGCGTACCTCGCTTGAGTGAAAGCAAAGGCTCATATTCTTATGTGCCTGTGGAGGGGAAGAGGAGAATGATTTCTGGTTTTACCCAGTTGGTGCAGGTTGCTGGTGCTGATGGGCTGCTGTAGAATACTTGCCCAGGAGCTCTTGTAGCAACCTGCATTGAACTGTCTCCTGGAAAAATCTGTTCTTGTGTTGAAAATACTAAGCCTTTACTATAAGCCTATGTCCTATGGAGGGTTGATTAAAATAGCTTCCTTCCTCATCCTGGTTTCCTGAAAATGATGTAGCTGTTGGTTTGGCTGCCTTAAAAGTGGTGGCCCAGAGTTGTGGTGAGGGTTTCAGACCCTCAGGTGTGAAATGCAGCAGCCTTGAAGGGAGCTGTTCAATTTAAATAGCATGGCAGGACCATGTGTACACCAAATACAAACAGGTGTATATAAATCACTCTAGTTTGAGTGCTCAGCTGAATCAAATGTTTACATGCACAATCCTTGAAATAATGTGGTGCTGGAAAAATGGTGTGCTTATGGAGCAATACGAACAGTGGAAGATGGGTGAGTCAAGTTGCCTTTCCTCTGTCTGCTGGACCATCTAGAGAAAGGATCCTTCCCTCCAGCACTGACCTTCTGTCCACCCCCATGAAATTGACAGGTTTTTTGATGTATTTGAGCAGTCCCCAGGCAACCCCCAGACTTTCTGTCTCTAGCAGCCCTATGACGTTGAGGAAGTCTTGCAGGTTACTTCAGCCGTAGTGGTAGTTACAGCTGTCAGAAAGTTTCAGTGCCACAAACTCTTGTTGGAAGCGCAGAATGAAAATATGAGAACTCTCTTTCC